CAAAGTCGGCGTTTTAATCCCCCCCCCAAAAAAAACGGTCATTTTTTTTCTCATTATGCACTGCGTGCTGCAGGATTTTTTATGTGGTGCACACTGATCACACAGGCCCATTCTCTCACATGTGGGCCTACCAGCTTTCTCCTGCTTGATTTGAAGCCGCTAGAATTATTGAGTATATATATGTCCGAAACACTGGCTCGTAAGACGTATATATATGACCAAAACAGTCAAAAGGTTAATTCCCACGTACCTCAGTGGTGCAACAAAAACTGGTAGGTAATATTTACCTTAGTTGTAGTATCCTTAACAAAAATTGCTTGTATGAACGTAAGTGAAGTTCATACAGGCAATATCTCACAGCAGGTATTGCCCACAAGTATGGTAGAATGGCAGGTATTGCCCACAAGTATGGTAGAATGGCAGGTATTGCCCACAAGTATGGTAGAATGGCAGGTATTGCCCATAAGTATGGTAGAATGGCAGGTATTGCCCACAAGTATGGTAGAATAGCAGGTATTGCCCACAAGTATGGTAGAATGGCAGGTATTACTCACAAGTATGGTAGAATGGCAGGCATTGCCCACAAGTATGGTAGAGCAACCACTTTTACTGTAAACAATGTTTCTTTCCAGGTAGAGCTTGATAAAACTACCCAGTGTAGATATTACCGTGTCGGGAGCTAATTTGCTGTATACACCTACCATCCGACTTACGACCGAGTTCAGTTCCGAGAAACCGGTCGTAAGTCGAACTTTACTACTGAATATCAAAATAACATTTCTGTAATGACTATTTTATTGTTTTATTTTGGTATTTCATGTTTTACTTCACTTTTTATGCTGTTAGTACTGTATTTTAAACTGTAAGGTTTAGGATAAACACTGTGTACAACACAAACACTTGTTTATTTCCCAGAAATTAGGCATAAAAAAGCACAGTCGTAAGTCGAGTCGTCGTAAGTCGAGCAGGTCGTAAGTCGGATGGTAGGTGTACTTCGTATCCATCCTATGGACGATGGTGAACCGTATATTGTATACTCCATATCCATCCTTTGTACAGTAGGTCTTTAAAAAATAGTAAACAGGAGTATATCTGGGTATATATTAGCAAATTTTATGTTATGACTTTAGGTTACTCGTTCAGAATTTCTTGTACCTATCTTATTTCTGCTTATAAGTTACTGCTGCATACAAAGGCTATTTATCTAAGTCTATATTTCTCAATAATGAGACAGTAAAACAGTATTCAGGAAACTGGCCTTAAAACTGACTGAATATTTAACATTTAGTTTGAACATCATCTGTAAGTATGGGAAGTTACCAGAAGTACTTACGACGAAGCCTAAGCCTGGCTACCAAAAACATTCGTCAGTCTGTTGCAATTTCACTCTTCCCTGTAAATGTGTATCTACATTACTGTTATGATGGTGTTCCCAAGCTTTCAACCGTATTCCGATGACCGTGATATTTGCATTTATTTCTTCTCCAACGCTATTTCTTATGTCTGATGCAGACCAAAGTTATAAAAGACTTTCAAAGAATTTTTTTTTCGTTTACTTATTTGCTTTATCATGCAGAATTAGTTCAACGTAGATGGAATCATGAAGAATTTTATTTTTTTATTATCACACTGGCCGATTCCCACCAAGGCAGGGTGGCCCGAAAAAGAAAAACTTTCACCATCATTCACTCCATCACTGTCTTGACAGAAGGGTGTTTTACACTACAGTTTTTAAACTGCAACATTAACACCCCTCCTTCAGAGTGCAGGCACTGTACTTCCCATCTCCAGGACTCAAGTCCGGCCTACCGGTTTCCCTGAACCCCTTCATAAATGTTACTTTGCTCACACTCCAACAGCACGTCAAGTATTAAAAACCATTTGTCTCCATTCACTCCTATCAAACACGCTCATGCATGCCTGCTGGAAGTCCAAGCCCCTTGCACACAAAACCTCCTTCACCCCCTCCCTCCAACCTTTCCTAGGCCGACCCCTACCCCGCCTTCCTTCCGCTACAGACTGATACACTCTTGAAGTCATTCTGTTTCGCTCCATTCTCTCTACATGTCCGAACCACATCAACAACCCTTCCTCAGCCCTCTGGACAACAGTTTTGGTAATCCCGCACCTCCTCCTAACTTCCAAACTACGAATTCTCTGCATTATATTCACACCACACATTGCCCTCAGACATGACATCTCCACTGCCTCCAGCCTTCTCCTCGCTGCAACATTCATCACCCACGCTTCACACCCATATAAGAGCGTTGGTAAAACTATACTCTCATACATTCCCCTCTTTGCCTCCAAGGACAAAGTTCTTTGTCTCCACAGACTCCTAAGTGCACCACTCACTCTTTTTCCCTCATCAATTCTATGATTCACCTCATCTTTCATAGACCCATCCGCTGACACGTCCACTCCCAAATATCTGAATACGTTCACCTCCTCCATACTCTCTCCCTCCAATGAAGAATTGTTCATTAATTTCTTTCTCTTGATATTTTAAAAACTGTGCATGACTTCACTAGTGAACATGTCACATCAGGTGTTTTCCCTGGTGAGTAAACTATCAACAGTGACATCAAGTAATAAAGCTTGAGATGAATACACCTGCATCGCAGGGAGAGTGTAAGATCATTACCTCCCCCACACACTTGCATGTGCACATGTCAGCATACTGGTGAGATTGTCTGCTCCCTGTACAGCTTTTGGAGAGAAGGCAGCTGTGACTTATAAACCAGCTGCAGTTGCAAAAGTTGCTGGACAAGCACCAACAACTAACAAATTGCAACATCATGAAAAGTGTAAAATGTTGGAGATCTTTGGGAAAGAAATTTACAGACTTAATATTGTTGCTCCCTCTGTCTTCCTGCCTCTGTCCCCCTGCCTCTGTGACCACTGATCTTCTGTGACCACTGGTGCACCAAAACAGTGAAAGTCAGTGTGAAATGCCTTCTAAAGTCCATCCTCTGTGTAATGTCAGAGTGAAGGTGTGTTGAAAAATGTGGAGGCTGCTGATACAAGGTGTGTTCTGCCTACATCAAGATCATCATCATTTTGCCAACTAAACTCATCCTCACAATAATTAATTAGCTAAAAATTAAAACTGCCCTTCGTCATAAAGTACATAACTACTGAGGCCATTATTGTTGCGTATTTAAGATTGTAGGATTGTTACAACACACACACACACTGTTAACTATGCTACAACACACACACACACTCTGTTAACTACAACACACACTCCATTAACTACACTACAACACAGTCACACTCCATTAACTACAACATGTAAAGTAAAAGGACACAAGTGCAACTAATTGACATTTTACTGTGGCAACGTTTCACTCTCCAGGAGCTTTGTCAAGCTGTTACAAACAATACATGGACAGATGGGTATATATAGGCTTAGAGTGAGGTGTAATACTAGTGGTAGTAGTAGTAGTGATATAAGTTGTAGCAGTAATACAATATGGTAGAACAATTAACTTGCACATGAGTAAAAGGATAAAAAGCTATTACTTGGGTAGCATAAAAATAGGTTAGACAAATACATATTTCTATTAGAGGTTGGATAAGAGAAGGCCTGTTTCAGTGTTCAACCTCTGTAATGTGTTTGTGTAGTATTAACAGGAGAGGCTATGTGATGGCAGAGTTTACTGTTTTCAGGAGGATTCTTGCTAAGACTTCAGAGATAGTGAAGCTGCCTTTGTTTTGTTTAATTGTATTAGAAACAGCGATTTGTGTTGATTCAAGGCACTTGCGTCTGCGGAAACTAGTTTCTTTGATTACTAATCAGGCGTCCCTGAATTTCATGAGATGATAACGACATACAAAATACTGCGTGGAATAGATAGGTGGACAGAGACAGGATGTTCCAGACATGGGACACAATTGGAAACTGAAGACTCAGTTTTAAGACGAGGTATGATAAAGCTCATGGAGCAGGGAGAGGGAGGACCCTGTTGCATTCAATGAAGAGGCAGGGCCAGGAGCTAAGTCTCAACCCCTGCAACCACAGATAAATGAGTACATGCACACAAACTACACACAACACATAAAAAAGAATATAATTACTATGACACTGCCATAACAATACACACAGTTTCTAAGAGAAAAACTAATAATGCAAATCATAGAATGACATATTGTAAATGCACACAGTATATGTAAATATGACACATACAGACAAAAAGAAGGGGGAGATAAAATAAGTACAGTGGACCCCCGCTTAACGATCACCTCCCAATGCGACCAATTATGTAACTGTATTTATGCAAGTGTGTTTGTACGTGTATGTTTGGGGGTCTGAAATGGACTAATCTACTTCACAATATTCCTTATGGGAACAAATTCGGTCAGTACTGGCACCTGAACATACTTCTGGAATGAAAAAATATCGTTAACCGGGGGTCCACTGTATTTATAAACAGCATAATAATATCAAAGAGCCATCAGTATATAGGTACCCAGTGAAATAAAAAAACAATAATTTGTTTCAAAACTACCCAAAACAACAGCTATATTATACTGAACTTAAGGGAGAATTATAAAATATTTACTTAAATACTACCTTTTTCTCAGTTGCTCATTATCAGGTCAAATAATTTAATACTAAAGAATACATTGTGTAACTGTTAGAAATACCACAGATGCTCTTCGCTTTACGATGGCTCGAATGTATGATGATGCAATAGTGACGTACATTCAGTAGTCATCAAAATTTGTAAAGTACTGTATATTATTAATAGGATAAATTTGTATTTGCTTATTTACTTTTCAATACTAGTATTTACAGCAATTATTTGTTTATTTACTTATTCAGTGACAGTAGTTATTTATTTGCATATTTATCATATATTCACATTCAACATACAATATTTTCAACTTAAGATGGGTTCCTCAGAACTTAACCCCCATCTTATGTTGAAGAGCACCTGTACACTGTATTTTGACACTTCTTAAATTTGTTGTTGAATAAAATATTTTCAAATTACCTGTTGGCTTTGCCTGGGGTGTGGTGTCTGGAAGTGTTGAAGCATTATTATGTTATTTCTCTCCTGGTGATCTTCACCCTCACTGGAGCTAAGTGTTCTCTCGGAGATATGTTGTTGTTCAGCACTCTCTCCAGCCTCTGAGCCAGGCTCTATATCAGACTCATCATCACAAGATCCCATCTATAATTAATGATGTAACCTGCAAAACTGAGAAGAAGAAATACTAGTAGCACACTCAACAACTTGCCTTCATGCAAGAAATCTCGTAAACTACTATAGGCTCCAATATCCATGGAAAACTATATACTATTCCCATTTACTGCAACATTAACACCCCTCCTTCAGTTTTAGTTTTACATACACATATAAATACATATACAGTGGTCCCTTGTTTTTCGTAATTAATCCGTTCTTGGAGCCGTTACTATAAACCAAATTTACGATTTACGAATCAATTTTCCCCATAAGAAATAATGTAAATACAATTAATCCATTCCTGACACCCAGAAGTATTAAAACAAAAAATTTTTTTACATGAAATATACATGTAGTACATAAACAATACAATGGGAAATGATGAATGAAACATTAACAGCATGACACTTACCTTTATTGGAGATTCTTCTTAGTGTATGGGAGACTGGAGGAGGAGAGAGAGTGGATTGTTTATAGTTTGGAAGTTGAATCCCCTTCCATCAACACCTCAGGTACCATTTGCTTTTCTGGGGTTGCTTCTCTTCTCTGTTTCTTAATGCCACTAGGACCACCTTGAGAGTCACTGGAGTCCTGTCTCACAAAATAACTGTGGAGAGAGCTCTGTTTCTGGCGTCTCTTTAACACTTCCCTAAAATGGCCCAAGACTTTATCACTGTACATGTTGCCAACCTGGCTTGCAACAACCTTGTTAGGGTGATGTTTCTCCATAAAGCTTTCCATCTTACCCCACATAGTAAAAATCTCTTTAATTTCTGAAGAAGGCACCTTCTTCCATCTCTCTTCCTCCTCCTCTGCAGCAAGATTCTGAGCTGTGATGTGTTGCTCTTCCTGCTGAAGCTCTTGCAGCTCCTCAGTGGTGAGCTCTTCGCCTGTTTCGTCACAATTGAATACTTGTTCAGGTTTCAGTCCTTCAGCCTCTATGTACTCCTGGAATTCATGCACATATTTTTCAGCCGCCTTGTGGTCCGAACTGGCAGCCTCACCATGCTTTACCACACTGTGTATACGGTTCTTAAATCTCTCAAACCAGCCATTGCTGGTCTTAAATTCACTCACATCACCACTATTTGCAGGCAATTTCTTTACCAAATCTTCATGCAACTGCCTAGCCTTTTCACAAATAATCGAAGTCATAAGAGTATCTCCTGCTAATTGCTTCTCATTTATCCACACCAATAATAACTTCTCAACCTCTTCCAGTACTGGTGATCTCATTTTTGTCAGCATAGTTACTCCCTTTGCAACAACAGCATCCTTGATTTCCTTTTTCTTGGCCACTATGGAACATAAGGTTGTGTAGGGTTTCTTATACATCCTGGACAGTTCGGCCACACTTGTACCACTTTCATATTGTTCAATGATGGTTTTCTTAAATTCAATCGTATTTCTCACCTTCTTTACCACAGGCTTGGCACTAGGAGCTTTCTTTGGAGCCATGGTAGATTATTTAGTACTTGCAAGCACTAAAATAAATGGAATATTATGAAATATTTCGCTGGAGCACGTGAGAGGACCTTCGCTCACTGGTAAACAATGCCAGACTGGCTGCCGCCCCGGCTCACGCCGTGGGTACGCGTCCCAGACGAACTACAACTCGCGAGTCAACCTATGAAAACCAAGACCATGTTTATACGAAAATACCCCTATGATTTGAGAAATTTACGATTGCCGGGAACTACGAAAAGCGGGGGACCACTGTAGTACATAAATGAGAAATGAAATAGATAAATATTTAAATAAACATTTAAAATCACCTTTATTGAAGACTCTTGTTGGTGTCTGGAAGATAGGGAGGAAGAGAGGGGGAGGACTTATAATTGTTTGGAATGGGAATCCCTCTCAACCACTGCCTTCACCACTGCCTTCACCACTGCCTCCACCACTGCCTCAGCCACTGCGGCAGTGATGGAGGCAGTGCTACTGCCACTCCATCACTTCCTCAACCACTGCCTGCACCACTGCCTCCACCACTTCCCCAACCACTGTTTACTCGAGAATAAACAAAGCCACACTGACTCACGATGCCTGGTCTGGTACGCCAGTCGAGACTCAGGGCACAGTGTGAAACTCGAGACAAAATTCAGCCGAAAAAAAGGGCTCAAAACTCAAAGCGGCTGAAGCTTGAGGCAGCCGAAACTCAGGGTTCCACTGTATAGCTATACATAATTTACCAGCAAAATATGCCTATAACAATTAGTCTGTGTCAAATGAACTACACAGTACAGTGGACCCCCGGTTCACGTTCTTAATCCGTTCCTGAGACCTCATCATAAAGCAAAATTATCGGAAAGCGAATCAATTTTCCCCATAAGAAATAATGGAAATCAAATTAATCCGTGCAAGACACCCAAAAGTATGAAAAAAAAAAACTTTTACCACATGACATATTAAGTTTAATGCAATAGAATAATTACAATAACAATAATAACAATAGAATAATCACAATAGAATAATTGACACTTACCTTTAATGAAGATCTGGTGATGATTGATGGGATGGGAGGAGGGGAGAGTGTCAAAGTTTTTAATGTTTAGAAGGGGAATCGCTGTTTTGTAATCACAGTTGCACCTTTTGCAAGAACAGCCTCCTTGATTGCCGTTTTCCTGCTCACTATAGTAGAGATGGTTGATTGAGATTTACTATACAACTTGGCCAGGTCCGACACACGCACTCCACTTTCATACTTTGCAATTATCTCTTTCTTCATTTCAATAGTCATTAGCACCCTTGGTCTCGATGGGTTGGCACTAGAAGTTTTCTTGGGGCCCATGGCGACTTATTTTGCAGAAACAAGCACCAAAAACAGTGATAATATGGATAATATGGAATGTACCGAATGTATCCTTAGATGTGCGCACACCGGCTGGCTTGTAAACACTGGCACACACGGGGCAGTTCAGGCCACACGTGGACACGTCTCGTACGAATCGTATCGCATACCGGGTTTTGTAACGGGAACAGAGGCAAATTTTTTGCGATATAATGCTTCGGATACCGGATTTATCAGATGCCAATGACTTTGCGAACCAGGGGTCCACTGTATTTTATAAATTTATAGTACAGTGGAACCTCAAAAATCGAACGTATCACATATCGAACGTTTCGAGAATAGGACCATTTTTTTTGGACAAACTGTGTCCCTATTATCGAATGCACCCATGTTCGAACCGCCGGGTACGGGACCTGTCTGCCGCCCACTCTGTCTGCGTCCCCGCGCAGGCGCCGTGAGCAGTCTAGCTTTGTTTATGCTTGAGTGAACACTAACCTGCGCTCTCATTCACGCATTTTACGATTATTTCGTTGTGTTTAGTGTTTGTGGGACTGTGAAATAAGCTGCCATGGGCCCAAAGAAACTTGCTAGTGGTACCCCTGTGGTAAAGAAAGTGAGAAACACCATAGATGTGAAGAAGGAAATAATACAGAAGTATGAGAGTGGTGTGAGACTTGTTGAGCTTGCCAGGATGTATGGGAAAAACAAGTCGACCATTGGTTCTATCCTGTCAAAGAAAGGACAAATCAAGGAAGCTGATGTTGCAAAAGGTGTTAATATAGGGAGTGGATGAGGTGCCTTCTTCAAAGATTAAGGAGATTTGTGCCAAGTGGAATGATGTCCAAATGTTTGTGCAGAAGTACCACCCTGAGCAAGCTGAAACAAGCCATCTTTGCAACAAGTTCAGTGACAGAACCATGTCCCATTTTAGGGAAATGTTAAAGAGGTGCCAGAAACAGAGGACTGTGGACAGTTATTTTGTGAGACAGGGGTCCAGTGACTCGCAAGCTGGTCCTAGTGGCATTAAAAGACAGAGAAGGGAAGTAACCCCAGAGAGGGCTTTACCTGAAGTCCTCATGGAGGGGAATTCTCCTTCCAAACACTACCCCAACTCCCTCTCTCTCTCCTCCCTATCTTCCAGATGCCATCACCAATCTTCAATAAAGGTAAGTAAAATTGTTATTTTATATGTATTACTATACATAATTAAAAACTATAGTATTTGTTGTATGTAAAACTCTAATTAATCTCTATAAAATGTATTTTTTGTGTGAATATTTTTGGGTTTCTGGAACGGATTAATTGTATTTGCCATTATTTCTTATGGGATATATTGCTTCGAATTTCAGACTTTTCGAATTTAGAACTAGCTCCTGGAACGGATTAAGTTAGATTTTTGAGGTTCCACTGTACTACCTGAAAACTGTAATAAGCTGGTATAGAGCAGACTCACACGGAAGTTTTGTCACATAAGTATAAAATGCAAGCCTATTAACCCTCCAAGTGGCCATCACATAGATCTACATTATCGATGCCAGGGTCCCTCACATTGATCATATTAAGCAGTGAGTGGTAAATTTTGGCCTAGATACAAGCGAAGCGAATGGGTCTGTGCGACGAGTGTGCACGACATGAAAAAAAAATCCTGCCGTACTTAATGCATGAGAAAAGCAAAACTCTGACCTTGTGTCTGGTTCAAAATAGCACTATAAAGTGCTTTCTAGGGTACTTTTTATGGTTTTATGGAAGATATACTTCTGAAACAGAGATAATTTTGGTTGAGTTCAAGACTGGAAGTAGCTTGAAATTACGCTTAACATAGCAGAAATATTAGATATTTGCCGATTCAAAATGGAAGGAAAGAGGCCTGGAGATGTGATTAATGAACTGAGGAAATGTTGGTTTAGTGCCTACACTGTTTATTTTCAATTTTTTTAATTACATTTTTTAATTTTGTGTAAAACTGGCCAAATTGCTGATGTGTGCACTTTATAGGGTAGTTCTCATAGCTGAATGGGCAGTTTCTGGTGCTCAATAAACAGAACTAAAGACATACATGTACTAGCAAAATAGCTAAAAATTTTGTCAAACAGAGCAATGAAATTGGCTTAAAACAGCACTCCTAGTGGCCAAAATTGCCAATGTTGTGCCCAGACCGCTACATTTGGACCTGTGTAATTCCAAACCTTTTCCATCAAATTTTATACTTTTGAACTTCAGAAAACATTCTCTACCATTTCACTGTTTCCTGCCATAGGCAGCTGCTATCGCTGCACTAGATATGACACTGTTGTGCCTGTCATAAAATGACAACAGTGCAGGAAATTGCACCAGCTGTGACACTACTGTTTCCCTCAGAACCAGCTGTGGCACTGTTGCATCATTGCTGGTGTACAGAAAACATTTTAACGATTCCTCATGAATTATTTTTGGGCAAAATTTTCTGTTTATATTTGTAAAGTAATGATATTATCACATGCATTATATACTTGATATGCAATATAACCTCAGAGATAAACAGCAACATTTCAAGCACTTTCATTTCCATCATTATCCAGGAACAGTGTTGAGATATAATATATATATATATATATATATAATATATAAATATATAATATATATATATAATATATATATATATATATATATATATATATATATATATTTATTATATAACCTTAAATTTAACCAAGAATAACCTAAATAGGTTATTTTCATAAGAGACTAAACAACACAAAATAAAACATAGACCTGAGTCTGGTCTAGGCCACTTAGGTTGGATTCTTGTATAGGGCTGTAGCCTAAGTGAGCAGTACAGCAAGCGGGTACAACAAGTAGGTACAGCAAGCGGGTACAACAAGTAGGTACAGCAAGCAGGTATAACAAGTAGGTACAGCAAGCAGGTACAACAAGTAGGTACATCAAGCAGGTACATCAAGCAGGTACAATAAGCAGGTACATCAAGCAGGTACAACAAGCAAGTACAGCAAGCTGGTACAACAATCAGGTACAACAAGTAGGTACATCAAGCAGGTACATCAAGCAGGTACAACAAGCAAGTACAGCAAGCTGGTACAACAATCAGGTACAGCAAGCAGGTACAACAATCAGCTATATCAAGCAGGTAAAACAATCAGGTATAACAAGCAGGTACAGCAAGCATGTACAACAAGCAGGTACAGCAAGCAGGTACAACAATCAGGTACAGCAAGCAGGTACAACAATCAATTACAACAAGCAGGTACAACAAGTAGGTACATCAAGCAGGTACAGCAAGCAGGTACAGCAAGCAAGTACAACAATCAGGTACAGCAAGCAGGTACAACAATCAATTACAACAAGCAGGTACAGCAAGTAGGTACATCAAGCAGGTACAACAAGTACAGCAAGCAGGTACAGCAAGCAGGTGCAGCAAGAGGGTACAGCAAGCAGGTACAAGTAGGTACATAAAGCAGGAACAACAAGCAGGTACAGCAAGCAGGTACAGCAAGCAGGTACAACAATCAGGTACAACAAGCAGGTACAACAAGTAGGTAAAGCAAGCAGATACAACTATCAGGTACAGTAAGCAGGTACAACAATCAGCTATAGCAAGCAGGTACAACAATCAGGTACAGCAAGCAGGTACAACAAGCAAGTACAGCAAGCTGGTACAACAATCAGGTACATGCATGTACAGCAAGCAGGTACAACAATCAGCTATAGCAAGTAGGTACAACAATCAGCTATAGCAAGCAGGTACAACAATCAGGTACAACAATCAGGTACAGCAAGCAGGTACAAGCAGTTACAGCAAGCAAGTACAGCAAGCCGGTACAGCAAGCAGGTACAGCAAGCAGGTACAGCAAGAGGGTACAACAAGTAGGTACAACAAGCAGGTACAACAATCAGGTACAACAAGCAGGTACAACAATCAAGTACAACAAGCAGGTACAACAAGTAGGTGAACATTAAAATGGTATAAAATACCGACAGATTGTTAGGTAAGACACATATGCAACAGTTAGGTATCTTTATTTCGAAACGTTTCGCCTACACAGTAGGCTTCTTCAGTCGAGTACAGACAAGTTGATAGAAGCAGAAGATACTTGAAGACGATGTAATCAGTCCATCACCCTTAAAGTTTTGAGACTGAGGGACTGACCACCTCAAAACTTTAAGGGTGATGGACTGATTACATCGTCTTCAAGTATCTTCTGCTTCTATCAACTTGTCTGTACTCGACTGAAGAAGCCTACTGTGTAGGCGAAACGTTTCGAAATAAAGATACCTAACTGTTGCATATGTGTCTTACCTAACAACAAGTAGGTACAACAAGTAGGTACAACAAGCAGGTACAACAAACAGGTACAACAAACAGGTGCTCATGACAGGTGTACATAATGTCATGCCAGTATGTGCATCAATAATTAGGTACACAAGTGTTAGGTGAGTGTTATGGGTCACATCCTGGGTGTTAGGTGAGTGTTGTGGGTCACATCCTGGGTGTTAGGTGAGTGTTATGGGTCACATCCTGGGTGTTAGGTGAGTGTTGTGGGTCACATCCTGGGTGTTAGGCGAGTGTTGTGAGTCACATCCTGGGTGTTAGGTGAGTGTTATGGGTCACATCCTGGGTGTTAGGTGAGTGTTATGGGTCACATCCTGGGTGTTAGGTGAGTGTTATGGGTCACATCCTGGGTGTTAGGTGAGTGTTATGGGTCACATCCTGGGTGTTAGGTGAGTGTTATGGGTCACATCCTGGGTGTTAGGCGAGTGTTGTGGGTCACATCCTGGGTGTTAGGCGAGTGTTGTGAGTCACATCCTGGGTGTTAGGTGAGTGTTATGGGTCACATCCTGGGTGTTAGGTGAGTGTTATGGGTCACATCCTGGGTGTTAGGTGAGTGTTATGGGTCACATCCTGGGTGTTAGGTGAGTGTTATGGGTCACATCCTGGGTGTTAGGTGAGTGTTGTGGGTCACATCCTGGGTGTTAAGCGAGTGTTGTGAGTCACATCCTGGGTGTTAGGTGAGTGTTATGGGTCACATCCTGGGTGTTAGGTGAGTGTTGTGAGTCACATCCTGGGTGTTAGGTGAGTGTTATGGGTCACATCCTGGGTGTTAGGTGAGTGTTGTGGGTCACATCCTGGGTGTTGTGGGTCACATCCTGGGTGTTATGGGTCACATCCTGGGTAAGAGGATCAAAGAACCTCAATGTAAATAAAGCTGATAGACCGATGTCAGTGGCTTTGTTGGTTTATCCTGGGTTATTAAACCTTCCTGATAAATAATACAAATAAAACCTTCATTTACGTGTCACTGATTTTTTTTTTTTTGTAATATTCTAGAATATTAAGGAGCAACAAATAATATTTAAAGTAGGCTGTACAGGAAACATTTACCCAGCCTTGAATTCACGTTAAATTAGTAAAATCAGTAATGTTACATATCTCTACAATGTTTTACATTATACACTTCTACAATGTTTGTATAATGTACATCATTACTGATCGTATATAAGAGTGATATAAATATTTAAGGAGCTGGATAACTCCCCACACGTCTCTTATAACAGGTCACTGAACTCTTATTAATAACATTAATGAACTAATAATGTCAAGTGAGCATTATTATTATGTTACAGAGGAAGTGGTAACCCCGCAGGGGTAATACAGCAGGTTAATAAGGGTAAACTAGTAAAATATTGCACTAACCTTGAAGTAAGGCGACCCAGGAGGAGGTTTGAATGTTGTTGTCAGCGACTACAAATACAAAACTTTATTATACTTTTTGGAGAAATAATAATTTTTATTCACACTTTTGGTGTATTAACATACACAAAAAATCTTTTACAAAGGTGTTGAGGAGACGGAGATGTTATAAGCACATAAAAAATAAATTAAAAAGCTTTAACTTGGGATAACACACTAGTGAACAAATATCAGTAAGTTTGTTCCGGTATACACAAGTACAGTTACATAGATTATCATACATAGCAGCATATGTGTAAATAATCTGGGGGTCCTTTTACCTTATTATTATAATATAAAGGTTATAATATCTTATTATTATTCTATAACGGAGCTAACATCTTATTATCATGCTAAAAAGACTATCTAACACGAGGGTCATTAAGACTATCTACTACACTAGGGTCATTAAGACTATCTACTACACGAGGGTCATTAAGACTACTACACGAGGGTCATTAAGACTATCTACTACACGAGGGTCATTAAGATTACTACACTAGGGTCATTAAGACTATCTACTACACTAGGGTCATTAAGACTATCTACTACACGAGGGTCATTAAGATTACTACACTAGGGTCATTAAGACTATCTACTACACGAGGGTCATTAAGATTACTACACGAGGGTCATTATTAGGAATACGGTAAAATTACACGTGTGTGAGCTAAAAAAAAAAAAAATCATTCCCCTCCCTTTCTGTAGCTACATTCATCAGGCACCTTTTGGCACTCTTCTTGAACTGGTTCATGCTATGACTGGCTTTGACATGTGCGGTCAGTCTGTTCCATTTCTTTACTGTTGTACAATAAAAGGTGTTTGAAGCCCGACCACTAACTGTGGGTACTACAAAGTTGTGCTCTCTCCCCCTAGTACTATGATTGCTCCGGTTCCCAACCTTGACAAAATTGGCAGCAAGATATTCTGGACACTGTGAGCAATTTTATAAACTTTATTTAGTTTCAGTTGTTTTACTCTGTCTTCAACATTCAGTATATTCAATTGTTGCGGCCTGGTGGCTAAAGCTCCCGCTTCACATACGGAGGGCCCGGGTTCGATTCCCGGCAGGTGGAAATATTTCGATGCGTTTCCTTACACTTGTCCTGTTCACCTATCAGCAAATAGGTACCTGGGCATTAGTCGACTGGTGTGGGTCGCATCCTGGGGGGACAAGACTCAGGAGCCCAATATGAAAAAAGTTAGACAGTCCTCGACGACGCACTGACTTTCTTGGGTTATCCTGGGTGGCTAACCCTCCGGGGTTAAAAATCCAAAGAAAATATTACCTTATCTATCTCTCTTGGACCCAGGTCCAGGATGAATCTTACCATTTTGTTCTGGGTGATTTGCAGTCTTTCAGTTTTTTTGTCAAGGCAGAGTGCTATATAGAGCAAGCATTGTGGAAAATACTGTATATATTTTCCAGAAATACAGTAGTTATATGTAAATAGATGGCCATACTGTATTTAATAATATTTATGTCATAGAAAACGAAAAGCCTGCATCTGCGCAGACGGGACTCGCCATCTTGGGTTTGAATTGGATACAAAGTTAATATAATGGGAAGAATTTTTCATGCTCTAGAGGTTAAAATTGGATTGACACCTCTCAAATAGGAGGCGAAATTGTTGGATGTGCATTCCTGCATAAGTTGAGATATCAGACGACTGGACAAGACAGCTCCAGGAACCTCAGATAAGCTCTCTAGATTTATGTGTAATTCTGGCCAGTGTTTTCATAAATTTAGTTAGTGAGGTTTTTCTGAGTATGATACAACTTAATATCCAGTCAAATTGGTGAGTGATATTAAGATATATTTTCCTTCTGTTATGTAATTGTGTATATATATAACCATTTATTATTTTTAATATACAGTCCACAAATTTATATATTTACCAGTATTCCTGGTGTATATATATTTCATTTAATTAATAGGTCCAGAGCAACTTGTGGATATGACAGTGGTAGGTATCGAAGGGGGACATTTTTTGCGACCTAGGTGTCCCGAATTCCTACTTGTCTATGTAACATTGATAAATAATAATTATCTTTGTTATCATTTACTGTTATGTACATAATTAGTTACATTCAGATAAATGCAGTTTTCCACAATAATTACCAGAATTCTTGGTGATGTATATTTCATTTGTAATTAATAGGTCTAGAGCAACTTGTGGATATGACAGTGGTAGGTATGGAAGGGGGACATTTTTTGTGACCTAGGTGTCCCAAATTCCTACTTGTCTATGTAACTCTGATAAATAATAATTATCTTTGTTATTTACTGGTATGTACATTATGAGTTACATACAGATAAATGCAATTTTTCACATTTAATTTGCCCGTTGGTCCTTCTTGAACTGGAGGTAATTAGTGAAGTCATTAATTAGTTAATTACTTAATAATTATATGTGAAATGACAGAAGGAGGTGAATGTTAAGTTCACAAATTTACTTAATGTGTAGTGGATTATAATTATTACAATATTAATTTGATAAGACAATTCTGGCCAAGATTTATATCAGTGTATGTGAAATTGATAAGCCAAGTGTAGCTAATTATATTAATGTGTATAATATTAATTTTGCTATGCCAAATTCTGGCAAGGATTTATATTAATCTGTATAATATTAATTTTGATAAGCCAAGTCTGGCTAACTACTGGCGAACTAAAAGCCATAAATGAAATTGAAAGAAACCCAAAGTATTTCTTCTCCTATGCCAAATCAAAGTCGAGAACAACGTCCAGTATTGGGCCCTTACTTAAACAAGATGGGTCCTACACAGATGACAGCAAGGAAATGAGTGAGCTACTCAAGTCCCAATATGACTCAGTTTTTAGCAAGCCACTAACCAGACTGAGAGTCGAAGATCAAAATGAATTTTTTATGAGAGACCCACAGAATTTGGTTAACACAAGCCTATCTGATGTTATCCTGACGCCAAATGACTTCGAACAGGCGATAAATGACATGCCCATGCACTCTGCCCCAGGGCCAGACTCATGGAACTCCGTGTTCATCAAGAACTGCAAGAAGCCCCTATCACGAGCCTTTACCATCCTATGGAGAGGGAGCATGGACACGGGGGTCGTCCCACAGCTACTAAAAACAACAGACAAAGCCCCACTCCACAAAGGGGGCAGTAAAGCAACAGCAAAGAACTACAGACCGATAGCACTAACATCCCATATCATAAAAATCTTTGAAAGAGTCCTAAGAAGCAAGATCACCACCCATCTAGAAACCCATCAGTTACACAACCCAGGGCAACATGGGTTTAGAACAGGTCGCTCCTGTCTGTCTCAACTATTGGATCACTACGACAAGGTCCTAGATGCACTAGAAGACAAAAAGAATGCAGATGTAATATATACAGACTTTGCAAAAGCCTTCGACAAGTGTGACCATGGCGTGATAGCGCACAAAATGCGTGCTAAAGGAATAACAGGAAAAGTCGGTCGATGGATCTATAATTTCCTCACTAACAGAACACAGAGAGTAGTAGTCAACAGAGTAAAGTCCGAGGCAGGCACGGTGAAAAGCTCTGTTCCACAAGGCACAGTACTCGCTCCCATCTTGTTCCTCATCCTCATATCTGACATAGACAAGGATGTCAGCCACAGCACCGTGTCTTCCTTTGCAGATAACACCCGAATCTGCATGACAGTGTCTTCCATTGCAGACACTGCAAGGCTCCAGGCGGACATCAACCAAATCTTTCAGTGGGCTGCAGAAAACAATATGAAGTTCAACGATGAGAAATTTCAATTACTCAGATATGGTAAACACGAGGAAATTAAATCTTCATCAGAGTATAAAACAAATCCTGGCCACAAAATAGAGCGAAACACCAACGTCAAAGACCTGGGAGTGATCATGTCGGAGGATCTCACCTTCAAGGACCATAACATTGTATCGATCGCATCTGCTAGAAAAATGACAGGATGGATAATGAGAACCTTCAAAACTAGGGATGCCAAGCCCATGATGACACTCTTCAGGTCACTTGTTCTATCTAGGCTGGAATATTGCTGCACACTAACAGCACCTTTCAAGGCAGGTGAAATTGCTGACTGAGAAAATGTACAGAGAACCTTCACGGCGCACATAATAGAGATAAAACACCTCAATTACTGGGAGCGCTTGAGGTTCCTAAAACTGTATTCCCTGGAACGCAGGCGGGAGAGATACTTGATTATATACACCTGGAAAATCCTAGAGGGACTAGTACCGAACTTGCACACGAAAATCACCCACTACGAAAGCAAAAGACTTGGTAGACGATGCAACATCCTCCCAATGAAAAGCAGGGGTGTCACTAGCACGTTAAGAGACCATACAATAAGTGTCAGGGGCCCGAGACTGTTTAACTGCCTCCCAGCATACATAAGGGGGATTACCAACAGACCCCTGGCAGTCTTCAAGCTGGCACTGGACAAGCACCTAAAGTCGGTTCCTGATCAGCCGGGCTGTGGCTCGTACGTTGGTTTGCGTGCAGCCAGCAGTAACAGCCTGGTTGATCAGGCTCTGATCCACCAGAAGGCCTGGTCACAGACCGGGCCGCGGGGGCGTTGACCCCCAGAACTCTCTCCAGGTAAACTCCAGGTAAAGGTTTGTATTAATGTACATTTAAAATTTATATTATAATTTTCTTACATGTGTAATTACTAAGCTCAAGTGTAGCTAACATTATTAATGTGTATTTAAAATTTATATTATAATTTTTTTACATGTGTAATTACTAAGCTCAAGTGTAGCTAACATTATTAATGTGTATTTAAAATTTATATTACAATTTTTTTACATGTAATTGCAAAGTTCAAGCGTAGCTAGGATTTATTCAAAGGTAAGTTGTACTATTTACCTTTATAAAGTGCATAATTTAGTACATAATCAGTGTTATTAATTAAGTTGAATTTAATACATTGCATCTTGGCTGAAAATGTGGAAATTAATATAGAAGACAAACATATGGAATACAGAGCAAAGAAAGCATCACTACAGGCTAGAAAATGCCATGTAACCAAGGCATATAATAAGTGTTTGGAATTAATGAATCAAGAAACTGTGAATACTGAT